CACTGACCCACCCAATTAAACTACACTTGATGTTTTCAGCCAGATAGATGGAGCCTCCCTTCTTTTCTCTTATCTAATGTATTTGCTGGAATATAAGAAAAAGTAATGTAATATTTACTTGTTTTCTAAAAAGTCTGATTCCAATATACTAGATAAGAGAAAAGAAGGGAGGCTCCATCTATCTGGCTGAAAACATCAAGTGTAGTTTAATTGGGTGGGTCAGTGGTGGGATTCAATTTTTTTTGCTACCGGTTCTGTGGGTGTGGCTTGGTGGGTGTGTCATGGCTTTGTGGGCGTGGCAGGGGAAGGATACTATAAAATCTCCATTCCCTCCCCACTCCAGAGGAAGGATACTGCAAAATCCACATTTCCTCCTGCTCAGCTGGGACTCGGGAGGCAGAAAATAGATGGGGGTGTGGCCAGTCAAAGGTGGTATTTACCGGTTCTCCAACCTACTCAAAATTTCCTCTACCAGTTCTCCAGAACTGGTCAGACCCTGCTGAATACCACCTCTGGGGTCGGTACCATATTGGTGAAGCTATATTATTAATTTAGCACATTTATTCAGCTATGGGCGAGAGGGCTGGCAGCATGTTCAAGAGAGCAGCTGAGGGATCAGTGTGGCTCCAGGTCCCCTATTAGATGCTGGGCTGAGATTGAAGAAAGCAGCACAACACCAAGTTAGCCATAATCAATGGATTTAATTTGCTGATGTCATATGGAGCTATTACTATTAATGCACTGTAATATACAGGGAACCCAAAATGTGTTTATTGATATTGCTACAACATTTAGAGTGGTACAGTGCCATTGATGTGAGCCCCAAAACAGCCATTGTATCTTCCCAGAGATATCTCTTGGAGGTTTTGCTTTTTAATATATTTTTTTCCTCAGAAGGATTCAAAAAGAGGAACATGGTTCCCAGACTGTGCCCACTCCTCTGCAAGGAAGCCCCTTTCGAGCCCTGAAACTTCCAGAACCAGTTTTAATTAATGAAGATTTTGTCAAGCTTTTGCACAATGCAACATATGAGAAAGGTAGTGGTTTTATTGGCTTTTATATCCTGTTCTATTATGTGTACCGGAGAGCGACTTACAGTATGCAAAAGGGCCTTCCTCCCTTATTTCTGTTTTCCTGTTCCTGAGCCATTGCTTACCTGGAGGAACTTTACACTGGGCGTGGTAATCCTGAGACAGCAAATTGCCCAGTATTTTTGTTTATTATTGGAGCTTAACCTTTGGGAAGACAAAGGGCCATTTTAATGCTTTGGTATGTGTAATAAAGAGAAATATTTTATATCCCCGCTGCTTCAAAAAGATGCCCATCTGTCTCTTCTCTTCCATATATGAGCAGTGTATAGTATGAAGTATGGATTATTGCAATAAAGGAGAATATTTGTGGGTAAGGGTTGAATGTTTGCTTAGGATGCATGTTTCTATATCCATCTGCAAATGACTGTGTTCATGGTGTACAATTCTTTTCAGACACATTTGCTTCTCTGTGGGAACTCTTTTCCCTAGCAACTTTGGCTAATATTTGCTGGAGGACAGGCTGTTGTCAAACTGATACAGCTGCCCCAGGAACATGGTTTAGTATGGTACAATGTGTACTTTCCAACACAAGGACCATTTAATTCAGACTACAGAGGTTCCCTTGCATGTACGGGGAGCTGGCGGGGAAGGGGGGAAACAAACAATGAAAAATATAGCCTTTTCTGACAGAGACTTTTTGCTGGGTAAATATAACAAAAGCAAAAGGCTAGATAGTTAGACTATCGAGGGAGGAGGAAAGAATGAATACTAAGAAATATACAACTGAGAAATTATTGCTTTGACTTTGGAAAGTGGATATAGAAGAGGAATTATAACAACAACAGGAAATCTGATAGGAAACAAAAATAAAGAGAGCAAAATTAACAAAGGACTCATCAAAAGAAGAAGAATGTAGTTTGTAGTCCTATGTTAATGAAGACCTGTGATGAACCAAGATTCACAAAATGGGGTACTGTTGTTAAAAAGGTAATCAGTGTGTAAAAAGTGTCAAAATATTTTTAAAAACCAGCAATATCTCTTAGCAATAGCAGTTAGACATACACCACTTCACAATGCTTTCCAGCCCGCTCTAAGCAGTTTAAAGAGTCGGTATATTGCCCCCAACCATCTGGGTCCTCATTTTACCGACCTCGGAGGATGGAAAGCTGAGTCAATCTTGAGCCAGTGAGAATGTTGTACTGCTGGCAATCAGCAGTCACCGAATTTGCCTGCAATCCTACATTACACTGCGCCACGACAGCTCTCTTTACTAAAAAGGAAAAACCAAACTTTTTAGTAAAAAATGAGAAATTTAAGTACAGTTTAAAGTTCTCTTGCAGGAAATCACTCAACATTTCCAGAATATTAGTTACCATCTATGCATAATAGTATTACTATTCCCAGAACAGAAGGTGTTTGGTTATTGATGCTTTGAAAAAGTCCTGTATTATTGGATAACAGGATAGTCATGACTTTGTCCCTTATCTCTTTATTAATTATCTTTCTAATTATCTTCCCAAGCAGATTTATACAATATTAATCTTTTCATTAAACAATATCTGAATTGCCCAGCAAAAAGGATGGCAGTAATGCAGCCATGTATCATTCCTTAAAATGAAGGACCATATAAGTGAGTTTAAGGGTATCAATAGCAGCTTGGATACAACCGTATGCCATACAAGTCTTTTTTATGAAGGAGGGGCCATTCATTCAGGGTTTGTCAACCTTAGCAACTTTACAATGTGTAGACTTCAACTGTGAGAATTCTCCAATCAGCACTGAAGTTGAGAAAAACTGTTCTAGATACATAGAGGTATTAATTAATTAATTAATTCTTAATTTTCCACATTATTTCCAAATTGGTCTTTTCACACAAGCAGTCAGTAAGTGTCGAGACTGAAATTCACAGAAACAAATTCTAGAAACCAAAAGTTTGGAAAGATTTTTCTCAATTTAAATCTAAGCCTTTGTAAAAAGTTTGTTTTATTGAGTTTTCCTTGCATGTAACCTAATCTCCTGTTTTTGCTCAGTCTCTGATTGCATGCCTAGAAGACTAGGAGAAAGCAATATGAGAGGTGAGTGGAACTGCATTTTTTTTATAGATAATTTTTTCTGATAAGTATTTTCAAGAAACGTGTAAAACACCAACATCATTGATGAATAGTGTTGTAGTGGAAAGATCCCTTGCAAGGTAGGGCTGAAGAATTTGTTTAGTATCTGCAGGATAAAATCACTCAAATCCGGACAGGCTTGGACTCTGACTGGGTAGATTCGGGCGAGTCAACGGGGATGAATCTTGTGGAGACCATCTGGGATGAGTTTGATCCTGTAGATAC